TGATTAATTTGATGAAAAAATAAATGAAACTGCAAAAAGGTTGAGTTGGACTGCAGTTGTGATGTTTGACCAGTAGGTACATACGATTATATGAGTGTAGCACGAGAGAGAACTTACCAGGGACTTTTAGACCTGTTTTACCTTTTTTGTGCCATAATAAGTGTGATTTAATTTGATGAAAAAATAAATGAAACTGCAAAAAGGTTGAGTTGGACTGCAGTTGTGATGTTTGACCAGTAGGTACATACGATTATATGAGTGTAGCATAGCTGCAGACTGACCAACCTGCAGCAGGGGTCTCCCTCTCTGTGTCCCTCTCAAGAGCCTCTCCAGGACCCTGACTCAGACGTGTATGCCAAGTTCTTCATGAGTCACTGCTGCTACGATGCCATTCCAACGAGCTCCAAACTGGTCATCTTTGACACAACACTGCAGGTGTGCTTATGTGCTTACTACAGTGTTTTAGTAGACTGACTTAAATTAAAAATATCCTTATTTAAGAGGTTCAGTACAAACACTGAAATATATGAGTGATGTGTACAGGTGAAAAAAGCATTCTTTGCACTGGTTGCAAACGGGGTCAGAGCGGCACCTTTATGGGATAACAAGCTGCAATGTTTTGTAGGTAAGCAAACGTTGGGGATCTGCTGAGTCTGTTGAAGTGTGGTTGCTCAGCTGTGAGCCTGCATCAGATTACTGAAATCTTATAATGTCACTACAACATCTTCACCCATAAACCCATATTAGGAAATGCAAGCATGATTCACATATGCTAAAACGCTTAGCACATGCAAGCCATAACCAAGTGTGCCATCCATTTTGAGTTTTGATACGGGTTAGAAAAAAAAACATGTATTTAATGTTTGAAACTTAATGTAAAAACGTAATGTATTACATTTGAGATAAAAATTTCTGCTCCCAGAGGGATTTTTGGAATCTGTTTTTTTTAAGTTATTTATAAATACCACATAAACTGCTCTCGACTGATGTTTTGCTGCTTTCTATTCATCAAGGAATCCTATATGTATATATGTGTGTGTGTGTGTGTGTGTGTGTGTGTGTATATCACCGTTTCCACAAAATAGCAAAAGAGTTTTCAGCCCAAAAGTTTGGGGTCAGTAAGATAAAAAGGAAAAAAAAAGATTTTCAATGAATACTTTTATTCACCAAGGATGATCAAATTGTCAGTAAAGAACTTTTCCATGAAAATTAAGCATCACAACTGTTCAGCATGGATTATGAGAAATGTTTATTGATCAGCAAATCAGCATATTCAACTGATTTCTGAAGGAGCAATGGAGCATGTAACAGTGAAGACTGGAGTAATGACTGCTGACAATTCAGCTTTTCTTGCCATCACAGGAAAAAAATAATTATTAAAATATGTATTAAAAGAAAATAGTTATTTCAAATTGTAATATTTTTTTACTGTATTTGTGATCAGATAAATGCAGCCTTGGTGAACATGAGACCTCTTTAAAAAACATTTAAAGATGTTACTGACCCCAAACCTTTGAACGGTAACATACAAGTGAGGACGTACCATGTATACATACTGTACGTGTGTCCGCTGACACAGCTTTGATTTGTAGCAGTCTCAGTGTCTGGGACTGTTACAGACACCCGTCCCCTCCATCAGTGCCAGTTTCTAAGTTTAGTGTGGCTTCTGGGCCGTGGTATCTGGTGGGAAATGGCAGGGTAGAGCTCTAATCCCCTGAACCTTCTCTGGGAGTAATAATAGCCATTCTAATGAGAAAGCATATCCTCCTACTGAAAGGAAGCTCGGGCGCAGGAGTGCGTTCCTGTTTCAGTGCATAGTGAGAGGTAGTATGTTTATGCTAATGTAGGCCACTTGATACTTTAATTTCAAGCTATAATGCTTCGTAACTTTATTTACATGCAGTACTGTCAAGTCCGTTTCAGATCAGATTGTATGAATTAATTGCTGAATCTAAATTTAAAGTAACTTTATTTACATGCAGTACTGTCAAGTCCGTTTCAGATCAGATTGTATGAATTAATTGCTGAATCTAAATTTAAAGTTGAATTCAATTTGAAGTGTTCTGTTTTTGCAGGGATGCTCACCATTACAGACTTTATCAACATTCTCCATCGTTACTACAGATCTCCCATGGTAATCCTGAAAAATGTATCATGGTTTTCACCTGTTTTATAACATTGATAATAATAGGAAATGTTTCTTGAGCAGCAAATCATCATATTAGAATGATTTCTGAAGGATCATGTGACACTGAAGACTAGAGTAACAATGCTGAAAATTCAGCTTTGCGATCACAGGAATAAATTAAAATAGATCAGAATAGAATACAGCTATTTTAAATTGAAATAAATGTTCACAATATTGCTGTCATACTGTATATTTGATTAAATTATCAGATGTAAACAAAGATCATGTACATTCTCTGTTTTAGGTTCAGATCTATGAGCTGGAGGAACACAAGATTGAAACATGGAGAGGTGATTGTGTATAGTTTTGAGGATATATATGCAGAGGCGGACAGTAACGAAGTACATTTACTTGAGTATTGTACTTAAGTACACTTTTTGAGTATCTATACTTGAGTATTTTTTTTTGGGAACTTATGTCTTTAACTTCACTACATTTGAAAGACAAATATTGTACTTTTCACTCCACTACATTTCTATCAAGGTCCACTGAAGTACCCTCGTTACTATGTAGCAGCTTTGAAAGTCAGTGAGTGATTTTTTTTCTTCTCTAAAACGTGACACTTTTTTTTCAGACAGTTTATAAGTAATCAGTCTTGGGGCTACATGAAGTGATTTCTCAGCATTTTTTGAACACTGCCCAGTTGCAAACGTGATATTTATTTACAACAATTCAATAATAAGAAGTTAATATTGTGGTATGTATTAGACACAATATTGTCTGATTTTGCTAAATTGTGTACGTGAAAATATTACCTATAAAGCCACAGAAGAACTGTTGTGCATCTCCTAATAAAACACAATAGGTGTTGGACTTGAAGCAGCACTGCATAGACTGTTCTGTGTGTGACATCAAAGTACCACGAGAGCGATTAGACAGCACTTTAAAAAAAAAAGTTTAATGTCAAATAGGTCTTGCTGTTTTGTTTTTTTGTTAAAGCAGTGTTGCTGTTGTAAAGCTGTACAGCTACAGCTGTGTTGCTGGGTTTTAAAGCAGGTTTGATTTTTTTTTCTTCCTTATCACTCTGTATTTACAGTATTTCACTGTCCACTCTGATCAAATGTGGACAAATGGCTACACATAGATGTGTGCGCACACACTGTCAGAGCTGTGTGAGATCACTACCATCCTGCTTTTGTGGGGGTGTTAATTTTTTCCCCCATAGGTTTTTAACATTCTAAAAGCTCTTTATTCCAAAGATACTACAAGCTAGTAGGTGTAATGTATTCTAAGTTGCATCAGAAGTATTGCAAGTATTACGTACAACAATAAAACAGTGCATTGACATAAAAAAGGAAATTTACTTTTGGTACTTAAGTACTTTTATAAGCAAGTACTTCTGTACTTTTACTTAAGTAAACATCTGTCTTTACAACTTTTACTTGTAATGGAGTAATATTTGACCAGCAGTATCTGTACTTTCACTGAAGTAATAGAGTTGAGTACTTTGTCCACCTCTGCACAGGAATAACACTTTAATAACGCAGTAATAACAGAAATAACACAGGAGAAACAAAGTAAAAACAGTGTAATAACAAAGGAATTACACAGTATTAACAGGAAAAATGTGGTAATAACACAGTAATAGCGCGGTAGTAACAGGAAAACACAGTAAAAATGCAGTCATAACACGGTAATAACATGGTAATAACACGGTAATAACAGGAATAACGTGGTAATAACACAATAATAACATGGTAATAACACAATAATAACATGGTAATAACACAGTAATAACACGTAATAACGCAGGAATAATGCGGTAATAACACAGTAATAACATGGTAATATAATAACAAAGGAATTACACAGTATTAACAGGAAAAATGTGGTAATAACACAGTAATAGCGCGGTAGTAACAGGAAAACACAGTAATAACGCGGTAATAACATGGTAATAACACGGTAATAACAGGAAAACAGTAATAACGTGGTAATAACACAATAATAACATGGTAATAACACGGTAATAACACAGTAATAACGCGGTAATAACACAGTAATAACAGGAAAAACACAGTTATAACACAATAATAACAGTAATAACACAGTAATAATATGGTCAAAACAGTAATAACATGGTAATAACACAGTTATAACACAGTAATAACATGGTAATAACACAGTAATAAACAGTAATAACACAGTAATAATATGGTCAAAACAGTAATAACATGGTAATAACACAGTAATAACACGTAATAACAGTAATAACGCAGGAATAACACAATAATAACACAGTAATAACACGTAATAACAGTAATAACGCAGGAATAACACAATAATAACACAGTAATAACACGTAATAACAGTAATAACGCAGGAATAACACAATAATAACACAGTAATAACACGTAATAACAGTAATAACGCAGGAATAACACAATAATAACACAGTAATAACACGTAATAACAGTAATAACGCAGGAATAACACAATAATAACACAGTAATAACACGTAATAACAGTAATAACGCAGGAATAACACAATAATAACACAGTAATAACACGTAATAACAGTAATAACACTGTAATAACAAGAAAAACACAGTAATAACGCAGTAATACCACGGTAATAACACGGTAATAACACAGTAATAATGCGGTAATAACACGTAATAACAGTAATAACACTGTAATAACAAGAAAAACACAGTAATAACGCAGTAATACCACGGTAATAACACGGTAATAACAGAAATAACACAGTAATAACAGGAAAAAACAGTTATAAAACGGTAATAACACGTAATAACACAGTAATAAACGTAATAACACAGTAATAACAGTAATAACGCAGGAATAACACGGTAATAACACAGTAATAACACTGTAATAACTGTAATAACACAGTAATAACAGGAAAAACACAGTTATAACACGGTAATAATACAGTAATAACACGTAATAACACAGTAATAACGCGGTAGTAACAGGAAAAACACAGTAATAACACGGTAATAACGGTAATAACACGGTAATAACACAGTAATAAACGTAATAACACAGTAATAACAGTAATAACGCAGGAATAACACGATAATAACACAGTAATAACACAGTAATAACACTGTAATAACAGGAAAAACACTGTTATAACACGTAATAATACACTAATAACACAGTAATAACGCGGTAGTAACAGGAAAAACAGTAATAACACGGTAATAACGGTAATAACACAGTAATAACACGTAATAACAGTAATAACGCAGGAATAACATGATAATAACACAGTAATAACACGGTAATAACACAGTAATAATGCGGTAATAACACAGTAATAACAGGAAAACACAGTAATAACAGGGTAATAACACAATAGTAACATGGTAATAACATGATAATAACACAGTAATAACACGGTAATAACACAGTAATAACACAGTAATAACATGGTAATAACACAGTAATAACATGGTAATAACCCAGTAATAACACGATAATAGCATGGTAATAACACGGTAATAACACAGTAATAACGCAGGAATAACACGTAATAACACAGTAATAACACTGTAATAACAGGAATAACACGTAATAACACAGTAATAACACGGTAATAACAGAAATAACACAGTAATAACGGGAAAAACACAGTTATAACACGGTAATAACACAGTAATAACACGTAATAACACAGTAATAACGCGGTAGTAACAGGAAAACCACAGTATTAACACGGTAATAATGGTAATAACACGGTAATAACACAGTAATAAACGGTAATAACACAGTAATAACACGTAATAACGCAGGAATAACACGATAATAACACAGTAATAACACTGTAATAACTGTAATAACACGGTAATAACACAGTAATAACACGGTAATAACACAGTAATAACAGGTTAAACACAGTAATAACACGGTAATAACACAGTAATAACGCAGTATTAACACGGTTATAACACAGTAATAACACGGTAAAAACAGGAAAAACTCTAATAACGCAGTAATAACACGGTAATAACAGGAATAACACAGGAATAACAGAAATAACACAGTAATAACACGGTATTAACAAAGTAATAATACCGTAATAACAAAGGAATAACAGTAATAACACTGTAATAACAGAAATAATACAGTAATAACAGGAAAAACACAGTAATAATGCAGTAATAAGATTAATAACACAGTAATAACATGGTAATAACACAGTAATAACAGAAATAATACAGTAATAACATGGTAATAACAAAGTAACCCCGTAATAACAAAGGAATCACAGTAATAACACGGTAATAACAGAAATAATTCAGGAATAACGCAGTAATAACACGGTAATAACAGAAATAACACAGTAATAACACTGTAATTACAGGAATAGCTCAGTAATAACACAGGAATAACACATTAATAACACAGTAATAACTCAGCAATAACACAGGAATAACACAGGATTAACACAGGAATAACACAGTAATAACACAATAAAACAAAATACTTTTCCCTCCACTACATTTCTATCAAGGTCCTCGAAGTAGAAAGTCGTTACTATGTAGCAGCTTTGAAAGTCAGTCGGTGATTTTTTTCTTCTCTAAAATGTGACTCAGACAGTTTATAAGTAATCAGTCTTGGGGCTACATGAAGTGATTTCCCAGAATTTTTTGAACACTGCCCAGTTGCAAACGTGATATTTATTTACAACAATTCAATAATAAGAAGTTAATATTGTGGTATATATTAGACACAATATTGTCTGATTTTGCTAGTTAAACACAGTAATAACACGGTAATAACACAGTAATAACAGGTTAAACACAGTAATAACACGGTAATAACACAGTAATAATGCGGTAATAACACAGTAATAACAGGAAAACACAGTAATAACAGGGTAATAACACAATAGTAACATGGTAATAACATGATAATAACACAGTAATAACACGGTAATAACACAGTAATAACATGATAATAACACAGTAATAACATGGTAATAACACAGTAATAACATGGTAATAACCCAGTAATAACACGATAATAGCATGGTAATAACACGGTAATAACACAGTAATAACGCAGGAATAACACGTAATAACACAGTAATAACACTGTAATAACAGGAAAAACACAGTAATAACGCAGTAATACCACGGTAATAACACGGTAATAACAGAAATAACACAGTAATAACGGGAAAAACACAGTTATAACACGGTAATAACACAGTAATAACACGTAATAACACAGTAATAAACGGTAATAACACAGTAATAACACGTAATAACGCAGGAATAACACGATAATAACACAGTAATAACACGGTAATAACACTGTAATAACTGTAATAACACGGTAATAACACAGTAATAACACGGTAATAACACAGTAATAACAGGTTAAACACAGTAATAACACGGTAATAACACAGTAATAACGCAGTATTAACACGGTTATAACACAGTAATAACACGGTAAAAACAGGAAAAACACTAATAACGCAGTAATAACACGGTAATAACAGGAATAACACAGGAATAACAGAAATAACACAGTAATAACACGGTATTAACAAAGTAATAACTTTGTGGGGGTGGGTAGGGGTGTTAATTTCCCCCCCATAGGTTTTTAACATTCTAAAAGCTCTTTATTCCAAAGATACTACAAGCTAGTAGGTGTATTGTATTCTAAGTTGCATCAGAAGTATTGCAAGTATTTCGTACAACAATAAAACAGTGCATTGACATAAAAAAGGAAATTTACTTTTGGTACATAAGTACTTTTAAAAGCAAGTACTTCTGTACTTTTACTTAAGTAAACATCTGTCTTTACAACTTTTACTTGTAATGGAGTAATATTTGACCAGCAGTATCTGTACTTTCACTCAAGTAATAGAGTTGAGTACTTTGTCCGCCTCTGTATATATGTAATTCCACACACATGGTAATGTTTTAAAGTAGTAGTTGTATTTGTTCCCTCTTTCAGAGGCCTATCTACAGTATTCTCTCAACTCCCTGATCAGCATCACACCTGACTCCAGGTAAAGCAGGACCTTCACAGCACGTTGGTTGTCCTTTCTTTTTCTTTTATCTTTCCAGTGACAGAGAGTTGTGTTTCCTGTTGGCAGCCTCTTCGAAGCCATTTATTCCTTACTGAAGAACAAGATTCACCGGCTACCCGTCATAGATCCAGAATCAGGGAACGTCCTCCACATACTCACCCATAAACGCATCCTCAAGTTCTTACACATCTTTGTAAGAGGTTTTATGTTGTACTTTTGATGTCACCATTCAATAACAGTGCACTCAGTTATTTTAACTCATTAAAAAAGTTAAACTATTGTCGGCGCTGATAACTTTGTGCGCTTCGGGTGTCCTGAGTTCGAATCCCGCCTCGTGGACCTTTCCCGATCCGGTTCCCCTCTCTTTCCCACTTGCTTTCTGTCAGATCTCCCCTGTCCTATCAGGAAAAGTGCACAAATATATATATATAATTAATAGGAATCCACTTGACTGGGAATTTTGCATGAGGGAGAAAGATTTCTGATTGACTTCGGCATCATTACACTATTGACAATAGACCTTTTTCGCCATAAGATTTTGGTAATGTATCTGCATCTTTATTCTACATTGAGGTGGTTGCCTCATTGGAGCTGATATACACTGCTCAAAAAAATTAAAGGAACACTTTTTAATCAGAGTATAGCATCAAGTCAATTAAACTCCTGGGATATTGATCTGGTCAGTTAAGTAGCAGAGGGGGTTGTTAATCAGTTTCAGCAGCTTTAGTGTTAATTAAATTAACAACAGGTGCACTAGATGGGCAACAATGAGACAACCCCCAAAACAGGAATGGTTTTACAGGGGGAGGCCACTGAAATTTTTTTTCCTACTCATCTTTTCTTACTGTTTTTCACTAGTTTTGCATTTGGCTAGGGTCAGTGTCACTACTGGTAGCACGAGGCGATACCTGGACGCTACAGAGAGGTTGCACAGGCAGTCCAACTCCTCCAGGATGGGACATCAATACGTGCCATTGCCAGAAGGTTTGCAGTGTCTCAAGAGAATGGAGGAGTTTCCAGGAGACAGGCAGTTACGCTGGGAGAGCTGGACAGGGCCGTAGAAGGTCCCATCAGCAGGACCGGTATCTGCTCCTTTTTGCAAGGAGGAACAGGATGAGCACTGCCAGAGCCCTACAAAATGACCTCCAGCAAGCCACTGGTGTGAATGTCTCTGACCAAACAATCAGAAACAGACTGGCATTTGCCATTGAACACCAGAATTGGCAGGTCCACCACTAGTGCCCTGTGCTTATCACAGATGAGAGCAGGTTCACCCTGAGCACATGTGACAGACATGAAAGGGTCTGGAGAAGCCGTGGAGAACGTTATGCTGTCTGTAACATCATTCAGTACGACCGGTTTGGTGGTGGGTCAGGTATCGGGATGAAATCTTTGGACCCATTGTCATACCCTACGCTGGTGCAGAGGGTCTTGAGCTCCTCCTGGTGCACGACAATGCCTGGCCTCGTGTGGTGAGAGTATGCATATTGATACCATTGAATGTCCCCACGCTCGCCTGACCTAAATCCAATAGAACACCTCTGGGACTTTATGTTTCGGTCCATCTGATGCAGCCAGGTTGCACCTCAGATTGTCCAGGAGCTCAGTGATGCCCTGGTCCAGATCTGGGCGGAAATACCCCAGGACACCATCGGTCGTCTCATTAGGAGCATGCCCCAATGTTGTCAGGCATGCATACAAGCATGTGGGGGCCATACAAACTACTGAGTACCATTTTGAGTTGCTGCAATGAAATTGAAGCAAAATAGACTAGCCTGCTGCATCATTTTTTCACTTTTTTGTCTTTGAATTCAGCCCTCTGTAGGTTGATCATTTTCATTTCCATCAAACGATGTGGCATCCTTTCATTCCTAGCACATTACCCAGTCCATATCAGTATAGATATCCAGCATGATATTTTTCCCCATTGAGATCTGATGTGTTTTCAAAGTGTCCCTTTCATTTTTTGAGCAGTGTATTAAGATGACATGAGATGACTTTGTTATTAGCTTAAGTTAATGGCTGTCTGCAATTTGTGTAATGCTGCATATTCACTTTTACTTTTAAAACAACTGTCATATTGGCTAGCAAAGCATAACTAAGTGCACATTCAACTCGATCTCATGAAAAACGTAGCTATTTCACAAAGTGGCGAGCCACATCATTCATACCTCATTATTCATACGGAAAAGTATGAATTTTTAAAAAAAACATGAGGCATGAGGGTCAACCTGAACCCCATCTCAAACCAAAATATCAGTGGGCATAAACAGATTGTATGAAAGCATACAAATGAGATTGTATGATTTGAAATTAATTAGACATCAATTTGACAAAACATGTATGATTTGCTGTGAGATTGTTGCCATGAAATGCTTATGTTGACTGTCCCCATAGCTCTGTCCTGAATGATGAGGATCATTGCTTTATGATTCTCAGGGCTCGATGATCCCAAAGCCACGATTCTTACAGAAGCGGATTGAAGAAGTGAAAATAGGAACATTCAAGAGCATTGCAACTATCAGGGAGACAGAAACCGTTTATGATGCTTTATCAATA